TCCATCAGGTTGATATTTCCAGTGTCCTTTGATCAGCATTCCACTTAGCCTGGCTTTACCTGGTTACAATGATCATCAGCAAGGTACGCCTTGGCAATTCTCCATGGCACAATCTTTCCAGAGCTCAGTCTGGCCTCTGCCTGTTTTTTTTGAATGGAAAGCAAGCATCCTGCTTGGGTCATTAACGTCAAACAGTTCCACCCTCTTTCTCCACATCAGTAACTCCTTTGTTATCAGTAGCCCAGCCTGTTCTCTTGTGGTCAAATATTGTGAAAAGGTGTTAAACCTGGCATCTGACACCTCAATGGGTTTCTGTTTGCATTCATTTCCTGCAGCAAGCTATTTTTGTCTTCCAGACATTGCTCCCTGGATTAACACCCAGGTTTTCAGAAAGTAGGTGAGCTCATTTTGGGGTTTCTTTAAGCCTCCACTTCCCTCCAAGTCAAAGACACATCTAAAAACATAAACTGTCTTGCAAAGGTTCATGTTTACAACACTACATTACCTCCATCCATCTGAGAGGTGGCCAAATGGAGGGGCACCTCAAAAAAAATGGGCATTGTCCCATCCTTGTGGAGGTTTTCATCCACCTACCAAGAGGTCCTCCCAAACTCTGCGAGTTAAAATCCACCGCCTTTGTCAATGCAACAAGAAAACACAAGTTAGGTCCCTGTCCTTACTTAATCCCTCATTCTCAACAGTCATAGAGTCCCTACAGTGCACATAGAGACCATTCAGCCCATCAAGTCCACACTGACCCTCCAAAGAGCATCCCAATCAGACCCACCCCCTACTCTATCCCTGTAACCCACACTTACCATAGCCAATCCATCTAGCCTGGACACTATGTGCTATGTAGCATGACCAGTCCACCTGTCCTCCACATCTTTGGACTGTGGGAGGAAACCGGAGCACCCGGAGGAAACCCATGTAGACAAGGGGAGAATGTGCAAACTCCACACAGACAGTTGCCCGAGGGTGGAATTGAACCGGAGTCCCTGGCGCTGTGAGGCAGCAGTGCTAACCACTGCAGTCACAAGGAAACCAATGCAGCTCTCAAACATTGAACCATGCAATAAATGGAATTATTCCCTTTAGTGTGGTTTTATAAATGTTTATTTATCTTTCTAAGCAACATGTACCTTACTCCTATCCTGTGTGTACTATATGCAGAAGGCTGTTACACCATACATTTATTCCCTTTCGTTTTGCAATTTAATGATCATATTGTGGCCTATCTTGATAGTGTTTTCTTTGATCCGGTTGCCTGGGAAGCCACTTGTTTAGAGACAAGAGTTGGAACATAGTTACACTGCTCTGCTGGCCATATGCTCTATTGAACCTCTATTAAACCTGTTTACATCACGGCTCAAACTCCAGGATAATGCCATTACACTTGAGTAAATAAATATGAATAAATATTGCTGTTAAAAAACCATGGAAATAAGCCATTTGTCCCATAGTGTGTGTCTCTTTCCTGGTACAAATTAAGACTATAACCACTGTCTCACTCTCACCAATAACTACATCTGTATCCCCAAATCCCTCTCTTGGGACCTACCTTCATGTAAAAGACACAATTCTTCACAGATCAACAACTCCATTCCACTCAGAATGGGTTAAGTGAGGGGAAGGAGGGTTATTAGGGACCTGAGGCTAAATGCGACCTCTCCACTTGCAGCTCCAACAACACTCAGCAAGTTCAGCACCAGCTCACTTCACAGGAACCCCACCCAGCGTTCTCTCCCCTCCACCACCGATGCTCAGTAGCAACGATGTGTACCATCTACAAAATGCATTGAAGCAACTTGCCAATGTTCCACAGTCAGCACCTTCCGAACCTTGCAAGGTCTACCACCCTGATGGACCAGGGTAGCAGGTACGTGGGAACACCACCAACTGTAAATTCTCCTCTGAGCCACTCACCACCCTGACTTGGAAATATATCAGTGTTCTTTCAGTGTCACTGGGTCAAAAGCAGTGAGGCTCACATCAACTGAGAGAATAAAAATATCTCAGCTTTCAAATGTTCTCTAATGAACCTTTGGCTTGCACCTCATCTCTGAGCTCCTGAAAGCCTCTGTTCCAATCCTACAGCGCAAGTCTTTTCATTAAGCCCCTGCCGATACCCATACCCATGACCAACTTTTCCTGGCATCATAATCCAACTGCGTCACTCTTTCTCCTGCCTGCCATTGGAAAGCATTAATATCCTGCAACCCTGCCCGACATTAGCTAAGAATTTTGAGATACAATGTCACTTGCTCAGAAACATTATGGTACTCTCTGAGCCACCTCACACTGTGTAAGGATGGAACAAGCTTCTCAAAGTGTGGGTTTGTGACTTTACTGTTATTACAATTTTCTTTAGCTCCCGTATACAATAATATCGCATGATTTTCCATTCACTCCAAATGACGGCTCACCCTCAGGGATTTTAATCAGACGACACTTCTCCCTTTAGGTCTCCCCTTTGATTAATTTTCTAGTCAATAATTTGTTAATCTTGGTGTGAATTTATTCCATACACTCGACATTACGTGCACATTGTACTCCTTGTTCCTTTAGTAAAGTGTTGGTGAATAAACTTCTTCACTCAGTTTGCTTCAGCTCCTTCCTGCGTGCTTTCAAGTTAACCTTTTGGAAAAGAAATATTTGGATTCGCTACTTAAAATTGTATATACAAGTTGTGTTTCTCTTAGCTTAAATCATTTTGATGACGGACACGCTGCTTGGAACACAAACATTCTGGAGACTTGTGTTCAACTATTTTTGATCTTAGTTTGAGAGAGTTGGCAGCAATGACAAAAACAATCCCCATGAACGAATGAACGTGCATTTGTATAGCACCTCGTAGAACCTCAGGGTATTCCAAATTGCGATACGACCAGTGAATTATTTTGGAAGTATTGTAGGAAATTTTCATTTTGAGTTTATTGTCACGTGTACTTAAGTACAAAAGTACTGGAGCAGAGTGGAAAGTGCATAATGTCGCCACACAGGCACTTCTTAGGTACAAGTACCCTGGTACAGAATCTTAAGAACAAGGTAGAAAGAAAGAACAAAGTTAAAAGTTAAACATTGCAGTAATTA